TATACAAATTCAAATTCATGTATTACTTTAAATGTGGTAAGTACAATACAAGATGGTAAAATTTACCGAACCCTGTTTCACACATTTTTTTATTATTAACAAGTGAATCACAGCTGCCTATAATAGTTGCAATGGTGTCACTCACAGCTTTAAATCTCAAAGATTCACCTTGAGATATAACGTAAATAAGTCCCATGACCCTGTATTTTCACCAGGACCCTTAACTTACAAAACCGGAACGCAGTAATTCTCAGGGTGCGTAAAGATCTGACGAGTGCGCCGTGAATGTGCCTATTTGTTAAAGGCTCGCGAGCTGCACACGTGTTTAAGAGGGAGCAGAGGAAAAATTTCTAATCTTCGATTTGATTTTAAAGGGGTATATCCACTTTAAAGTTAAAAATAAAATATTGTATGATATAAATGATTGTACTACACGATATATTCAAGCATAGACACTAATCACAAACATAAAACAATAAAGTTTCCTCGATAGATAAAAATCACGAAATGACCTCTAATTTTCACATTTTTTCGATTCATCCTCGAAATGCTACAGGTTATTAGGACAAAAATTAGATAATTAATTATATTTATGCCTTGCATGATCGAGAACTGTCACTACGGATTTTTTTAATCCCCTTAGTTTTGGAGTTATTCCGCTAAAACGAATTTGGTACTTATGATGCGCAAAATTCAACATCTCCTGTCGCACGTCACGCGAACTTCAGGCATATATTTGTTTCACAAATTTGGGCGGAGCCAACGTCAAAACTTTATTGGCATGCTCCCTCTTAACGTAGCGAGATCTGTTCGTGACTTATATTGCCATGTATATAGGTAACTGCACGCATGCAGCACGCGTGTAGCGCCCATGATCCGAGGGGCACTGGCACTCCGTCTGTCACCTTGAGACGTAAGTTGACAAGTCCCATGTGCCTGTAATGTCGCCTTCAGCGTAATGGGAGAACGGTTGCTTCTCTATTGAGAGGTTGACAATTCGCGTCAACTCAACCCTATATATACTCTATCCTTACAGAAGACTTTTTTTATAATATCAAGTGACGGGACGAATAAGTCGTGTGACAGGTGATAAGCTACACGCCGCGCCGGTCCATAACAGTTACAGTGCCACTTAGAGCTTTAAATCGTAAAGATCTTAGTGGCACTGACAATGCGCCTGTCACCCTGAGACATAAGTTGACAAGTCTTCACAAAGTGCTCTATTGCTACCAAGACTCGTGCTCTGTAGTGGAACGTATAATCAATACGATAAACGAAAAAACATGGCACTAGACACACTGTAAGAATAAACTGAACTTCATTCGATAGTTGATGACTTCACCATTTCAGTCGTTTGTGACCAAGGGCTTTGTAAAGTACCCGAGATGTTTTTCTTTGTTTGTAAAAACATTAGTAATCATTAGGACGTCGTAACATTAACAATCCAGTAATTTTTGGCAAATTTTTTATCTTCTTTCACAATCTATCGGTAAAACTATCGACAACAACTACATAGCTATTAAAAACTATATGAAAGCTGGCAACCCTACAAATGTCATTTTACTAGTCATGTGTCGTTATGGCTTTTTCAAATAATCTAACGAAACCGTTTTGCGTTTTTAGATAACGTTGAGAAAACTATCTATTTTTGACAACTATCTACTTCGACTAGGGCGCAAGTGACGAAGCGTTTTATAACGCTACAAGCGCAGGGTTACAATTGATATCATAACATAACTAAAATAAGAAAGCTGTAGTTTTTTTCGTTATCTTTTTTTGTTTAAAAGCGTTAATATCTGGAACTCCAGTTGAATTTGAAAAAATATTTTTGCATTTAATAGCCCAAATCTTGTATAAATAACATCACGCTAAAACCCAAAAGTTTTATAAATATTATACACAAAATTACAGGTTTGTTTATTTACAATTAAACACTATGAAGTCTCATTTAAAATAAAACTAATGTGCGCAATCCGCTACGATCAGTAAACAAATAATTAGTATGCCTATCACCACGCGCGATTACAAACAAACTAATTCATTACTAGACAGTAATGAAAATTTTAAATTTAAAAACAACAATCGCAAAAGAAATGGGACCCGTGTCAAGGTCAAAGTTCAAAAATTTAAAATTTTCGGAAGTTATTCATTCTAATAACGACTTTCATCCATAACTCAAAAGTCACATTATGCAACAACGAAACACATCATCCAACCTCGTACTTGTGCAAACGGGACGCGCGTCCTATCCTATAATATCTTACTCGCTCTTGCCGTTGCGTTGCGATACCTCTACGTCGCCAACCACAACGACAACATCTATTGCGTGATTATATTGAGCGTTGCGAGATAGCAACACTTTAAAATCACTACAAAACAAGCGATGGTTGTCAAAAACGTAGTGACAATCTTAACGGGTCGTTGTGAAGAATAGGTAGTTTTGCTGGGTTAGAAAACGAGTGGTGATAGTGAAGCCAAATAGAGAGTTTTAAAACTATCTACTCTAAATAACGCCCATCGCTACATTTTAATCCGTCTTCAGAAAAGACAAGAGAAAACTTAATTCAGATGTATTATAATTTCCTTCAATATCGTATGCTATCAAAGTGTAACTTTTATTGATAAATTCGCGAAAATCGTACAAAAAGCTATAATTTCGCGCCATCAAGCTATCTAGTGGCTTAGAGATTACGTAAAATCATGACACATAAAATAAAAAAGTAACTGTATCTAATTCCGACAAAAAAAAATACTGCTTAATTGACAAAACCGGTCGATAGTTATCAATATTTGTACAAAACATTTTTGATAAAATGCAATATTAATTCTTAATATCTGAATTTACTACTATTACTGTAATACATTCTAAACACCTGCTGTTTACGTAGATAAGTGGAGCACAGATGTAAACAAAGTACTGAAATTATCCATTAAAATCAAAACCTTATTACGACAACACCGGATTTACATTTTTGTAACAGCGAAATGTATGCACAAAGGTGGTTCACTTTGTTTACATATGTGTCCTCTATAATACGCCTGCTATCTATAGAGATATTATGAGCGTAATATTGTATAAGTACGCATTAACACAAAATGTGTGTCACGTTTTTTGAAACTCATTTAGGGACTTCCTTCTTTCATGCGTAAGAAAATTACGCTTGAAATCGTCAAATTATTAAACAAAGCTCCTACGTAAGGCAGTTTACTTTTTTTTATAATATCTAGTGACGGAACGAACCAGTCGTACGCCTGATGGTAAGTTACACGCCAGTCCATAACAGATGCAGTGCCACTCAGAGGTTTAAATCGCAAAGATCTGAGGGGCACTGTCACTGCATCCATCACCCTGAGATATATGTTGACAAATCCTATATGCCTGTAATTGCACCTGCACCCTTACCCTTCAAAACCGAAACACAGTAATGTTGACATTACTGTTTGGCGGCAGAAACAGGTAAGGTGGTACAGCAAAATATACACTGCCTAGGTATCTAGCAGGTTTTTGCATTGTTTTTTATCACTTTTTTTACTCGAATTAGGTATCTAGCAGGTTTTTGCATTGTTTTTGATCACTTTTTTTACTCGAATTAGGTATCTAGCAGGTTTTTGCACGGTACTAAAAATCAGGTTTTTAATCACTTTTTTTACTCGAATTTTTTTAGGTCTATTTCTTTACTTGAAACATAAGTAACGAAATAAATATTATAATCTAATATATGTATATAGATATTTTTAATTTATTTATTTAAGAAAACGTATAGTGTTATACAAACATATATTAACATTATTATCAAACTAGGTTATTTCATTAAATACGTACAAGTGTTACAAAATATGAGTTTGTACAATGGACCTACATAACGCACTTGACAACTAACACAGTATTATCTCAAAAATTGTGTTATATTATATTTTATCTCAAAATTGCGTTATATTAATAATTTATCTCCAAAATTTCGCTATATTTGTATGTCATTCGTATACGATTTACATTCAAAATGACAGGACAACACTGTCGCTTTGAAATTAAATAGGTAATATTAATATAACTTAGAGCAATTTTGAGATAATACTATGTTAGTTGTCTTGTGCGATATAACCAATCCAAAATGAAAAGAACTGGTGACACTAACAATATTTTGTAGTCTGCAATTAAACCAGCTGTGACAGAGGTTTTAGTTTATTCATGGGGTCCTCTGTCAAATTAATATCTCCCACTTTTTTCTTGTAACTCATCAAATTTTTATTTAACTTTAATGGGGTAATTTTACACTTCGGATGTGTGTATATTTAAATAGCCATTTAAACAGGTAGCTTTCAAGTTTCATATAACTACATCCTAGGATTATATTACTAAAAGTTAGTTGTCCTATAACCCCTGCGCTATATATACCTACATCTTGACCAAATTGAAGCGCCGCCGCCGCGACGTTATCACGTGTGTGGTATTATGTTGTTGTACCGTAGTAGCGCGGTATAAATACCACATTGTAAACAGAAACTTGACAACAAGGCATTCCTACACACAAACCACCTATATTATAACGAGTAGATTAACACATTACTAGGATTACGATTCAGGTTTTATAGAAAAAATGTCGTTAATTACAAATCAATTACAAAATTGTTGCAAGCGACAACGTCGTTTACCGATTTGTTATTATTGTAACAATCAGTACCGTGTTTTGGATTTAACATGATTTGTTTTGTCATTAGAGTGTTATTTTATAAGATAAACCTCAATCATTACAAATTTAAAACTTTATAAAATAATACCTAGATAATCTTAATTTATATCTTAATCTGCATCTAATATTTACGTCCTAATCAAAACAATAAAAATAGTTTTCGTTTTTTTCTAACAATCGTCGGCATACGTAAAAAATAAGCATTGTAGACTGAATTAATATAAGAGTTTAAAAGAAAACAATAGAAGTGGAATGTAAAATAAATAGCATTTATTACTAAACCGTAAATAAAAACAGACAAACACTCACCTCTATAATTCTCTGATACGATCAAATAACATTAACCCCCGGGAAATATTGTTTATAAAATAAATTCACTCAATATCAACTTTGTGACAAATGTATCTTAACAATATTCGAAAAAAACTTAATTAATATTTTTTTCTAAACTTAATTTTATTGTCATACAAATATATCAAAAATAGTTTTAAAACTTTTCTTTCTCAAGAACACATTTATCGATGTTTTGAGCACACAATTCACATACATACGTCCATACAAGACGACGTCTGCCGGGCAACTGAACCGTACTACAAACTAATATGTATATATATATATAATGTGTTATCTATGCGTACCTATTACTAACTCGCATGAATACGAAGATACTCTGTGATACAATGAGCTGTTTAGTAGCACATATTTGTGTACCTACCATACAAATAATTCAATCCACGTCATTGTTATAAATTGAATAGTGCTATATACAGGACGCAATAAAAACCTTTTCGGGCTGTTGCCTTTAACTTTTTCGTTGTGTGCGTCATTTTGGTAGCCATATATGCTTCTTTTAGTAAATTAAGTTTAAGTTATAGATAAGCAAAACGAATGTTAAAGAACCTTAATTATCATACACAATCATAATTGGATACAATTTTAAAAGCCCAATCGTAAAGTGAAACGGATAGTGATTTGGCCGGATACCGGATATCCGGTGAGCGCCTAGGCCGGTTAGCCGGATATATGGCCGCAGGATATCTGACCCACTCCCGCAAATGTCACGACCGGTTGACAGAGCGCCTTGATTGATTGATTAGTGAATGATTGCACTTTCACATCGACGATTTGATTTGTTGTGGTCACTTGATTTTTTTTAAAAAACGATTAATTTATTCGATAACACAAACAAATACATAACACTCACTATATTTTAATATCAGTGCTGTTTGTTTGTTGTGCCGAATGCCAATTTCTCGCAGTGGAGAAGGAAAAAGCAATTATATTATCCTTTGGCTATATTAAAATTTGTAGTTGTTATAAGTCTAGCAAATGATACGCCCGTTACTATTTTCTTTCAATTTGATTTCATTAATTTGTTTGTGATCTGACTAATTCTAAGCCATGATACCGAATTTGCCGAAACAAAATTTAATCTACGTACACGTTTCATTATTGTAGGTGCACATTGTATTTGAAGATAGTTGAAATCGATCGTGATCGCGATCCATTCATTTGGTCGTCTGGCAATAACAAATAGTACTAAAACTTTAAAAAAGTTTGCAAGAGTTTTTAGTGAAAAATGGTCCTCTGAAGCTGGTCTTGTTTATGAAAATAAATAGGACCGACTTTAACCACTTAATACAGAAAAAACTGGTTATCATCCATCATAATTTGCCTTTATTGAAATTTGAGTACTAAATTAACAGATAATGTTGTCTAACTTCATAGTTCTTTCAATTATAAATAACAAACAGATTGTCAACGATCCTGTAATTGTAATTTATCCTATTACTATAATATTTCATCAATAAATAAATTTATTTGGCGTACTGATTATGAATTTTTCTCAGTTTTAAACATCCGGTATCCAGCCGGATAGTACAAATAGGCCGGATAGGCCGGATACTGGTTAGTTACCGGATATTCGTTTCATGCTCACCTAATTGTGTTGTTAGCTCGGAAGAAAAAATCAATGGATGAACTAATGACATTATACATATAGTAAACGGACGGTGTTCTGCATAATTGTGTTAACTCACAAAACGACAGTGAATGCTGATAAATAATAACGTGTCAACCAACATGATCAGTTTTGTGGAAATGGCGCTTAAAGATTTTATGATGATTTGTTCTAAAATTTATATTTATTGTCCAATGGCATGATTTACAAATCACGTGAAAACAGTTCCAAATTTAAACTGACCAATCATATGCGCTCTGGTCATAGTTATATGACTGCTACGCTGAGTTCATAAAGAGTGTAGCATTTTTACCATTTATTTAATCTTATCTTGTCTTCATATACGGGTACATGTGATAGGAGGCCAGTTTTTATTGTTAGAAGAACGTCAAAGGTATGGCGTGTCGCAAAATTCTTTGAAGACAATCATGACTTACGTACAAAGTGTTCCAATTTCCTAGTACTCCAGAATTTAGCGGCTAAAACCATACGTTTCTTTATTGATAATTATCCTCAGTATTTTAAAACACATGGTGAAGTCATTCAAAAGCAAACTAGAGCGAAAATTATCAACCTTTTGTACAAATTTTGTTGACACACAGTACTTGTAAGAAGTGCTTCAGAGCGTGTATAATGATTTTCAATCATTTTTAAAAATTAAATCAATTCCTACATGGGCCTTGTATGTATGCCAAGAATACAAGATATTTATTCGCTGAAAAATGTAGTTTACAATGGTGTTATAGTATATTATTATTAGATCGTACATTTCACCAAAACATGGCATGCGAATATTTTACACAATTCTTATTTCAATCACGCACAGGTGGTTAAATTTTACATTTTGTGTTATCTGTTAAAAATCATTTATATTGTAGTAGCATTGTGTAACTAACAAATTATGTAATTTTATTTTAAATTGCCTACAATTTAGTTCATTAACTGCATCTGGTATTTTATTAAATAATTTAGGTGCCAATATAAACATCGTTCTATTGTAAAATTCCAAGGTGGGGCGTTGTTTTGGCCGTATTTTTTATTTTGTTCCTTGTTTTCCTGGGATGTCTGGTTTTCACTAGATTAAAGTTGCCTGGATTTTGTTTTAGGTATGTAAACACAGGCCTCGTAAATATACATAGATGGTAGGGTTAAAATCTTTAGTTTTCTAAAATAGGGTACACAGCTTTCTCGCTGGCCCACACCAAACATGGCCCTGACACTTTTCTTCTGGGTTTTAAACAGTGGTGTAATATGTGTTGCAGCAGCGTTCCCCCAAAGCAGCAGACCATATCGCAAACTAGAGGCTACATAGGCGTGATAAGCACAAAGAGCAGTTTTTTGTGACGTTATTCTCGTCAGATTTTTCTGGACGTATACGTATTTACTAAGTTTAGTATTTAACTTATTTATATGTGACTTCCAGCTCATATTATATTGATATTATATCACATTATATTATCTACTACTACTACAGTACTAGTACATCAGCTTACACGCACACACTGCTGGAATTCAGACTCCCCACACCACACCAACTGTGCTAATTTTAAATCATCTCAGTTGTGTGTCGGTAGAGTCAATGACAGGATTTCGTAAGTTTGGTATTCTGCTAAAAGTAACTCTTCACTTTCTTCACAAGCCACTATTATAAAACACAATCGAGCCGAGCCTGCCCGAACGAACTACTTTTGTAATCGTTATATTATAGAAGGCAACAATTTTGAGGTTGGCACGGGGGCGGCAGAAATCAACGCTACGCCACACAGTGGGCCGTAATTGATAATTCTTGGACATAGGAATAAGTCGTGGAGAATCGAGCTAATTTTTTTTAATGTGATAGAGCAAAAAAAAATATTGTTTTTTTGTTCTTGATAGAGAATGTTTGGATCTATACTGTAAATAAACCACACACATTACATTTTCCTACATTTCGAGATAAAAAACAAAATGTTTATTTCTCCAAACAAAAAAGAATTTTTTTCTCTGAAACAATCGGCTTTTCAAGAATTTACATAAAAATAAAAGTTATCAGGAATGTTATTATTTATCATATGAAAAAAATGAGCTCTGTATTCCTAAAAGTTGATTAAAAATGCCTGAAATAAAAAGTATACATTTTAGGCTAAATTATTATTTAATCATGTCAACAATTTTAGGAATACAGAGCTGATTTTTGTTCATATAATATAATAAAAAAATTGTATGGCCTACATTTATTTCTCTCGTGAGTTTGGGTGTAATTTGTGGTTGTCTATGTGTGTGTGTGTCCATGGCACTCGCGGCACTGGATTTGCCTAGTGCGAGGCTATGTTGAGTGTGTGCGTTATTATTATTATTATAAAACGCTCTACTAATATACACTATAATATTTTGACAGCCTCGTCAATATAGACGCATAAAATAACCTAAATAACATACCCACAAAAACCACTCTAGACAATAATAAAAAATATATATTACAAAAAAAAATTTTTTTTATTCTGGCCTCTTGTGGAATTTCTTGCTTTTCTGGCCCACGATGGAAAAAAATTGCCCTCCCCTGACCTGTACTAGACAAACATGGAATATCTTCGTCCACATCGTCGTTTAACATCAGGGTTAATTATGACCAAACCTTAGTCTTTTTACATAAAGAAAGCCCCTGATTAGATAATAATTTGCCAGACAACCACATCGATTGCCTGGACTCAGCTAGGGAATTCCCTGCACTATGAGTACCAGACCAACGGAATACACTCCGGGACACAACTCAGAATACCCAGGCCTGAACCGATTTTAGAAAAGTTCATTTCCCAAATTGATCTTACCGGGAATTGAATCCGGGACGTCCGCAACCACCGAGGTCGTCAAAAATCATAAATGTTGTTGGTAAGCAATAAAACGCTATTTTATTACAAAATTTTATTAAACGCTATACATATAAAAAATAACAATCACTTGTAAGTAACATTAAAACATAATATGTACAATATGATTTATAAAAAGGGATTATATAAAATCTTGCATTCATTACAAATTCTATTTTCGAGACGATTCTGTCGCATTTTTAACTAATTTGGCAGATTTTAGAATTAGTGATGTAATTTTTATATCAGTAAAAAAAACACAAATGCTGGTAACATATAAGGGTGAAAATATGCTCAGAGAGTTTAGAGTCGTCTTATTTATAGAAAAAGCTGGTATATGCATCAAAATCTTAAACTTAATTGAAACCAAAATTGAATTTAAAACAGGACGTAAAACAGTTGTGAAAATTTTTGCTTACGCATATAATTATAAATACCAACTTGAAAAGCGTGTCATGAGGCTTATAGGTGACTCAGATTTAGTAGAGGCAAAGCTCCGCCGTAAACTTGCCAGCTTATCGTTATTCTACAGGATATATCACGGAGACTGGCGATGGAATTGCACGATTTAATTCCGCCTTCTCCTTGTCGTCATCGGGGGACTAAGCGTAGGCAGGGGTTCAACCCCTATATTGTGGATATTCCAAAGATACGCACGAAGCGTTACATTTCCTAATTTATATGGCAAATGGCTATGGAGTGGAAGTCTCTTCCTGCAGACATATTCCCTGAACGCTATAAGGGCCTTTTCAAGGCGAGAGTTAATAGGCATTATTTA